CGCGTCCGCAGCCTCTGCAAAAGGAAACACGGTCTCACACGGCAAATCGCAACCAGCGTCGCTGCAGTCAGCCCGGAGATGCACGTCGGAGAGGTGGAGGTCGGCGTCCGTGCTCATATACACACGCACCAAGTCTACCTAGGAGCTGTATCAGATAACGAACAAAGAATGGTAAATATAAGCGCAGGCAACACGTGCGTGTGCAGGTGTGCTGTGTGGTGCACGCCCTCCGAGCGGGGCGGGGTCTGCCCGTCGGGTTGTCTCCCTATATCCAGGACTAGTGTGGGGCCTGCGGCGACGGATCCCTAGTGCAGCCCTAGTGGCCTCTCTCTCAAGCCTGTGTTATCTTCAAGTAAGGGGTAACTCACTGATCCTCCACCGGATCCGACTTTCGACAGTGCTGGCAAACCGCATCGCGCAGCCGCACGGAGTCTCCGACAGCCACGCACAGCCTCACGCTCACAGTGGTTGAGACTTTCATGCACATGCGAGCTCGCAGGTCAGGGTCTCTGGCCACATGCGAAAGGAAAGGCTCATCAGAACGGATTCGTTTGCACGCCGTGCAGAAGCTCGTGAGGTATGGCGTGCCAAGATAATCTCCATCGCGATTGCTATCCAACGTGCCATCTCCAACCACCCCAGTCCTCAGGCACGTGGTCGCCACCGCTCTGCTGCCACTCTCCCGCGCGAGATCCATGGTTTATCAGCTCGCCGAGTAGGTCTGCAGCTGAGATGCTGCCATCTGCGTCACACGTCAGTCCCGGAATTGCGGGCGTGGCCACTTCACCGTCGTATGTGCACGTGCAGTAGGGAAGGTGCGTGCCGCTAAAGGCGGAGGGGTTGGTGAAGTGCTCGCCGAGCTCTACACCGCGTGCCAGTCGATCGGCGCGCACTCGGGCATCGTAGACAGCTTGGCTCTCACCTGGCTGACCCAGCATGCCATCCTCGACACGTCGCTTGAGCTCTGCACAAGGCAGTGAGCGCATTTTTTCGCGGTCACGCGGGCAATGGCATGTCTCGGCGATGCGGGTGTTCTTCGTGTTTTCATACTCATCAGAGTTGCGCCAAATGCAAAGCAGATCTTCCAAGTGAGGCTCGTCAAGTGGGTCACCCACATTGCGGTAATCTTGGAGCCACGAAAGAAAGTCGCCGCGTACCAGGATGTCCAAGCTTCCGAGAACGACTTGTGCGGCTTGTTGCTGGGAGGCAGTGTCAGCTTGCTGCTGCGGAAGTGATGGCGCAGGGGACGGCAGCCGCTGCTCTGCGCGCCAGGCAGCCACCAAGCCAACCTCTGTGGGGATGTGAATGCTGCCGTACAAAGCAGGACCGCGCTGCTCGCGCCATGCCTGAAACGCCATCTCCTGTTCATCAAAGCATCAAGCTCGGCGAGTCCAGGCTCAGGGTCTGCAATCTGCTGCGGCTCCGAAAATTCTCCGATCTGCTGCCTCCCATGCCGCCGCTGCGACCGCTCGCGCTCCCTCTCCATTCGCTCCTTGGCGGCCTTGACTGCCTGCGGCCCTACCACGGGGAAGCCGTGTGGTGATGGTGGGTGGGTCGGGGAGGGATGGGAGGCAAAGCCACCCCCGGCATGCCTGCTTCAGGAACCATCTGGCTGGAGGTGGCGCCGGCAGCTCCAGCAGCGGCGCTCTGTGTAGTCGCCGAACCAATGCTCGCACTTGCCATCATCGCCGTGATCGCTCGCGCATCCCTCTTGCGCTCGGCGTCTTCGCTCTTGGTCCGCCTCGACATCTTGCTCCGGGTGTCGCGAGCAATACCATACATGCCCATGGCGAGCTCGTACGCCTGCTGGTCGCCACTTCCAGCGGCGGCTTTGGCCTCTTGAGCCGTGGCGGGCCAGAGTGCACACGGCCGCTATGTGTCAAGGCAGGTGTCGCTGCGGCCTTGCGCTGGCGCTTCAGGAGGCAGATGGCTCCTTCTCCGCCGTCCGCAGCAGCTGTGCATGCTGCTGCTTTCGATCGCGCCACTGGTCCCCCGGCTGCTCCCGCTGTCGCCGCTGTCGGGGAGCCGGCGTTCGGTCCATTTGGCGAGCCAGCGATTATGCTCGGCATGCCATTTTTTGTCGGTCTCGTAGTTGACCGAGTGGGGGGGAGGTCCCGCCTCCACGGCTGCTCGAATTTCGTCCGGGTTCAGCCGTCGCTTGGCCATTCGGCGGAGCTGGTGGTGCAAAGACCGAAGCCGTGGGACGGTCGGAAACTGGTGGCGGTGGGACTTATCGCGTTGGATGTTCTCTATTTTATATTTAGCAAGAGGTGAAAGGAGGTCAGGATAACTTGCAAAACAGATGACGATTGTGAAAAAAATTCAGCGCTGGCGCTCTGGTTTCTCGTCGACACTGTCGAGCCAGGGTTCCGTCCGGCTCCTACCCAGATAGGGGGTCTGTCCCCCACGGTTAGACCCTATGCAATAGGTAGGTAGGTCCGGTTTTGACCGCCCCAGAGGGCCCCGCAATAGGTAGGTAGGTGGTGGTGGTGGTGGTGGTGGTGGTGGTGTGGGGTGTGTGGGGGGGGGGGGGTAAAAAAATCCAAGAGAGGGGTCGGGGGGCGGGAGAATCCAAAAAAGCCGTCCAAAAAGCCACAAAAAGCCAGCGAGCCTCCCGTTACGCGATTGCTCGCGAAGCGCAGCATGATGCGTGGCCAGCTTGGGAGGCTGCCGCCGCTGTCAGAGGCGGCCGCCACTGTGAGGTCTCGAGGGCCGACCGGCCGGGCGAGCATCCGCGCTGCTGACGACGTGCTCGAGACTGACCTTCAGAGCGACGAGATTCTCGCATGCTTTGAGGAGGCGCTCGGCGAACGGCAGCCAGAGATGGGAACGGATGCTGCAGCAGGGCGAGAGGCGAACGCCGAGAGATCCGAGAAAAGGAAACGGCGGGCGCGGCGACGTCCCATTGACGGACACATCGACAGCCGCCGTCGAGATGACGGATGTCATCCCCCGCGCCGCCCAGGACAAGCAGGTATGATGGCAGCGGTGGGACGCGAACCCAGAATTAGCTGTGCTAGTTACGTCCTTGCACTCGTAGGTGAACAACGGGATTTACGTTCAGCCGACCGAGGACGGGAATTTCGGTCTGGATAAAGACATCGCAGACAACGTGCGGCCGCGTAGCCCTATCTCACGACGATCGCCCTGTTGAGCCTCTGCCGATCACGATGGTAGGCCAAGAAGAAGTACGACATCGCTAAAGAACAGGAAGTGCGCACGTGGATCGAGAAGGTCTTGGATGAAAAGCTGGAGGACGGTAAATCCTCTATTTATTCATGTGCAGTAAGGGGAGGGCTCCCAGGGTAGGGTGCCCACAGGGCCCAAAAAAAGAAAAGAAAAAAGAAATGGGCGCACCCCGATCGCAACAGTTCGTGTTGGAGAGTCGAGATATTGACAAATAAACCGCTTCGCTCGCGCGGGAGACGGCGCGTTTAGCCGCGAAACGGGGCCATGCCAGACGAGTCGCCTGCGGCCGGGACGCCAGCCGAGACGGGTGCGGCGGCGGCGCCCGCGGTACAAGCCGGCGCGGCGGGCGCTGGGAGCCTATTCACAGAGGGCTAACGGATATTTTTTCGCTTCGCTGCGCGGCCTGGGAATAGGTAGGTAGGTTGGCCTGTATAAGGTTTTCCGGAAAACAAAAAGGAAAACAGGGGGTCCCCAGCACTTTGCGTTTCCGGAAATTTCCAGGGAAAACAGAGGGTGTTTGGTGCTCCGTTCTGGAAACTCGCTGTTTTCCCTGAGTCTGAGAGCTGGTCTGGGGCAAAATCTAAGGCAAAATTGAGGAAATCGACAAAATACGCAGGCGGTCGCAGGGTAAATTCCAGGTATGCACGGGTTCTCCGCAAAATTCCCGGCATTTTGCCGATTTGGCCTAAAATTTGGCTGATTTTGGGCCCAAACCAGCCTCGACTCGGCTCAGAGCCCAAAATTTGACGATTTCCACGGAGTTTTCCCGGGAAAAGAGAGAGGGAAAGAGAGGGTGTTGTAGAGAAAAAAGGAAAGGAAAACAGACGGGGTGCGAGAGGGAAACCTTATACAGCCTAATAAGGTAGGTGGGGCACGGAGCCTGGCGGTCGGCGCCCGCAATAAAACCCGCATGGTCGGTTGAAATAAAACCAAGCAAAAGAGAAAAAACCCAAGCAAAGAGAATAGTATAGCCGCAGCCGTAGCCGCAGCCCCAACTCTTGCCGCTCTTCCGTGTCGGGTTGTGACGAGGGGTGAGGGGACACGGATTGAAGATCCCTCACACCAAGATCGCGTGCAGGGCGGGGACACATGTCCCTAAATCCCATCTCGTCTCAGAGTTTGCCCGTTTTATTTATTTATTTATTTAGGAAGGCGGGAGAATCCAAAAAAGCCGCGCAAAAAGCCACAAAAACCCAGCGAGCCTCCCGTTACGCGATGATGCGTGGCCAGCGCGGGAGCAGGTCGGCGCCGACGCTGCCAGAACTAAGACGAGACCGCGACCGGACGGCGGGCCGTGCTGGCGAGCATCCGCGCTGCTGCGACTCCCCTGCGAGGAATATGAAGGTTGCAGCGAGCCAATCGGCGAGGGACTGCGAAAAGAGATAGGAAGAGGCAAACGCCCAAGGGTGGGCGACGGCTAGCGCACCACACCCCTCTCCTTAAAATCCCTGTGTGAGTACGGCCTGTTGAGTCCGGCGCCGCTCGCCTCGGCCCTCGCGCGCGGTCGCGGCGGCCCGTCCAGAGTGTGCAGTGAGCAGTTGAAACCCGCTTCGCTTGCGCGGGAGACGGGAGCCGCGAACGGGGCCATGCCAGGCGAGTCGCCTGCGGCTGGGACGCCAGCCGAGACGGGTGCGGCGGCGGCGCCCGCGGTGCCGGTGGCGGCGCCCGGGACGGCAGCGCCCCGGATTTTTTCGCTGCAATAGGTAGGTAGGTAGGGCGTTTTGGTGCGAGTCATGGACACAGACCCCCTATCTGGGTAGGAGCCGGAACCCAGGCTGGGCAACAGTAGACGGGGGACACAGGAGACGGCCATGGCAGCCAGGCTCACCCCGTGCGGCTACTTCCTCGTCGCCACCGTCGCCCTCGCCGCCCTGCTCATCGCCGTCGGCCACAGCTTGAAGGGCCAAAGCACGCCGAACGGCGAGCTTCCATTCTGGTTCGAGGTCACCACCTGTGCGCTTGAGCAAGCTACCGGCGCCGCGGTGGGAGGCCGGAAGTTTAACGTGTACTCGATCGATGGGGGAGGCGAGTGCGGTGGCGATGGCGATCAGCGAATGACGCTCACCGCCAAGGACGGGCTTCGTGCCGGCGGTCTATACTTTCCGGTCATCTTACTCCAATCCGAGTCGTACGCGACTCTCGCCTACTCCATCGTCGACGGCGACGGGAAGGTGGTCACGCCGACGACACTGCTCGAACTGGGCCCGCAGCATCTGGAGGGCGGCAGCTTCTCCGGCAGGACAGACTACCCGTGGCGATACTCCAGCTGGCCGCCCGCCGCACCACCGGCTGCCCGCAAGCTGGCAGAGGGGCGCGAGGAGAGCGTGGAGGAGGAGGCTGGCTCTGCGCAAAGGGCGGGGGCGGCGGACCTCTGGCTTGACTTGAGCGGCTGGGAGGAGGAGGAGGTGGAGAATTCGGCGCAGGGGAAGACGGAGGAGGAGGAGGGGGTGGTGGCGGGGGAGGAGGAGGCGGAGGCGAGGACGGAGGAGGCGGCACGCCGCGCCTTGTCGGCCTCGCGCCGCCGCGGAGGAGGGGGAGGCTTCAGCCGGGGCAGCAGCTTCAGCCGGGGCGGCTCGTCCTCTTCGTGGGGCTTCTCGCGCGGCTCTTCCACCTCCTCCCGCCCCTCCACCTCCTCCTCCCGCCCCTCTTCCACCTCCTCCCGCCCCTCCACCTCCTCCTCCCGCCCCTCCTCCACCTCCCGCTCCCGCACCTCCTCCTCCTCCTCCTCCCGCTTCTCGGCCTCCTCCGCGTCCTCCTCCCGCTTCTCGGCCTCCTCCGCGTCCACCTCCTTCAACACCGCCCGCCGCCGCTCCGCCGCCGGCTCCGGCACCACCTCCTACTCTTCCCCCTCGACTCGCAGCTACTACTCCGCCGGAGCCGTCTACGGGGGAAGGAGCTCGTCCGCCGGCGCCGGCCGGTGGGGCCAGGCCACTCCCGCCTACTCCGGGCGAGGGTACGGCTACGGCGGCTACTACGGCTACGGGGGCCTCTACTCCCACAGCCCGCTCGGCCTGTACTACTCGCCCTTCCTCGGGTACGGCTACTACGGGCTCGGCTACCCTTACCTCTGGGGGCCGGCGGCACTCTACTACGGCAGCGCGCTCCACGTCGTGCGTCGGCGCCAGTACGCATGCCACTGCTCGTGCGGCGGCGCGGCGGGCGGCGGGTCGGACGAGGGCTGCGAGGCGCGCGAGCACGAGACGGCGACGCTGGCTTCGGACCAGGACCGCCGCGGAGATGCCGCCGAGATGCCGCCGAGATGCCGCCGAGATGCAAGCCGCACCTCGGGAGCGTGCGGGTGCGAGGGGGTCGGTCCCTTGCTTCACCAGCGGGCTGGTTGGCTGCAGGACCGGTACGAGCTCGCGCCGGAGGACGACGAGCGGAAGGGCGGAGGCGCCGCCCGAGATCTCACAGAGGGCTGCCCGAGAGGTGGTCGAGGCTTGCAGTCGAGACTAGCAGCAGGGCCGGAGGGGCGCCACCACTCACCCCTCGCCACTCGCCTCCCTCGCCACTCGCCTCCCTCGCCCCTCGCCGCCCCTCGCTCCGCAGGCGGCTTTCTTCTCCCGCCCAACCCTAACCCTAACCCTAACCCACACCCTCACCCTGACCCTCACCCAGACCCTGACCCTAACCCTGACCCTAACCCTAACCCTGACCCTAACCCTGACCCTAACCCTGACCCTAACCCCAGGCGGCTCTCTTCTCGCGCCGAGCGACGACGGCGGCTTGCCGCTCCACCCTCGCCTTGCACACCCCCAGCCCTCACCTAACGCCCAACCCTGGCCCCACCCACCAGGCGGCTTCCCGCTCTACCTGGTCGTGCACAACGCCACCGCCTGGGTCGACGTCACCGCCACGACGCAAGCCGCGCCGCCGCCCCTCTTCCTCACCCTCTGCACCAGCGACGGCGACGAGTACGGCGCGAGCGGTGGCGCGCTCTCCTCGTTCGGGTACGCCCTCCTCGCCGCGGGCTGCTGCGGGCTGCTGCTGCTCGCGTGCCGGCGAGGCTCCCTCTGCGAGAGCGGCGCACAGCCGAGGCGAGGGCCCGAGCTGGAGATGCAGACCGCGCAGCACGGGTGGCCGAGTGCGACCGCCGCGTACCCCGGCGCCGCGCACCCGGGCGCCGCGGCCTATCCCGGCTCCACGCCCGTCGCCCAAGTTCTGCAGTACAAGCCGCGCTTTCAGAAGCTCTGATGTCGGGAGGGCGGAGAAGGCTGACGGGAGGGCGGAGTGTCAGCTATTAGTACTCCATGTGCGCTGACAGTGGCCTACGTACGTTTTGCCGCGATGAGCGGTCTGAGCAGGAGAAGTAGTACGTACGTTAAGTCGCGTAACGGTAAGTAAAAGTTAAGAGAGGACCCAAAGACTTTGGCAAAGAGGAGGCGTCACCGACCGAACACCCTCCCACACTACTGGTAGGAAGGTGAAGAACAGGCAGGCTCGGACTGGACACCAGCGCGGTATGGGTGGACGCGGGACAGAAGAGGACGGCACGCGTGAGCGACACGCACAGACACACACCAAGCTGGGGGGTTTTTGCTAAGGTGTAGATCAGGTTCCACAGCATCGTCCCACACGTAGCTCAGCGGTCAGGTGAAAAGGGGTTTTTGCTAACGGCCTCCCACACACGCCACCCACACCGGATATGTCTTGGGCATTTTTCGCACTTTTCTTTCTACGTCGGTCGGGGTCCCGTGGATCGATTTTCAAAGTGAATAGACAATAGTACGGCATAGAAAAACTGCAAAACAAGAGATGCGTTAGCTCGCCGCAAAAGCAAACAGAGGAGGGCGAGGAGGAGTGATTAGCACGCGTCCTCTGCCACCGTGCGCGTGTTATGAGGTGGTGCGAGAGAGCCATTTGCGTGCGAGCCCGTGCCCCGTCCCGCCACCCGCCCGCCCCGCCCCGGAGCGCGACAAAATGTGAAGGGTGGGCCACTTGTGTTGAGGGATGGCAACCCAGGTGGGTGTCCTCCGCCTCCAGCTCAGCCGCCGCATCGAGCTCCGCCTCATACGCGTGTGGCTGTGGGCGACGGAGCCGCCGCTGCGGCCTTCCGCCGTCGGGGCGACGGCGACGGCGGCAGCGGGCCGGGCGGCGGCGGCGACGGTGGCGGTGGTAAGGGCGGCAGCAGCGAATAAGGCGGCGGCGAGGGCGGCGGCGGCGGCGGAGGAGGCGGGCTCGGTGGGGGCGGCGACGGTGGAGGCGGCGGGGCGGCGGCGGTGAGGGTGGC